AAGCATATCCTAGGCAAAAATTAAATAGATAAAATATAATAAATATAAATATTTCAGAAATTATATGCTTTTTAGAAAATCTCTAATATTGTTAATCCTTAATAGGTTTTACCTTCAGGAAAACACTGACCAAAACTCTTATGTATTCTGATGAGTTTTCTTATAAACACTGACCAAAACTCTTATGTATTCTGCTGAGTTTTCTTATATTTAGCATGTCTAGTGGTTCTTTGCTAATACCTAGACAACAACAATACAGTGTTAGCAGCCGTCATAATTTCAGTTATTATTTAAAATGTTAACTTGATCAGGGTCTAACTTGTATAATAGCATTTTCTAGGCAATGGTTTTGGGGATGCACATCACACTTATCTATGAACAGTTATAAAATTATAGATGTCCGGGACCTAATCCAGACTTAGAGAATCTCTTTTCTTGATGTTGTGGTATAGTCTTAGTATATGTCTGTTGCTTCTCAGGATTATTAGGCTATGTCTCAAGATTTTCCCCCTGTATAAAAATTATGTTGATCCTTTTATAAATAGATCTTTTTGTTTTTTATAAATCAGAGGTAACATTCACTGACTTCTTTGAAAATAAGCTTAATCACTATCCTTAAAGAAATTTTGTCTAATTGTTGTTGGTAACGGCTTTTTTATTGCTTTCCTCGCCACAAAACCACCAGATGTCCTTGTCAGTTGCGATATTCCTGTCCTGAACTCTTATCAGGCCTTTCACATTAGGAATTGTCAGTAATAAACCAGCCACAGCTGTTTTCAGTTGACAGCTAGTTCTGTTTTTTTCTGACGCTTGCCTGAATGCTCCCAGTCATCTACAGGCCAGAGTTTGTGTCCTCTTCAAAGGACTAAGAAGGTACCAGGTCATTTGAACGCTTGATGCTGCAGAGAACGAACTACTGAATACAGGCTTCCAGCGGCATCACTTAGACAACCTTCAGACCGGACACCTTGGGGCCGAGTCAGGATTTCCAGACCATGTTTTAGTCAAAAAGCTGACAGTTTGATGAGACTGCTAACTTGAGATCCAACAGAACAAGAATTACACAGAAACAAGTAAACTGACAAAAAGCGATTTTACTGTCGTGGTGAATTTAGAGTATTGTTTTAGTGCCCTATTTTCTGAATATATAAAAAAGCCCATTCTCTTTCTTTTTAAGCTATCTGTAATTCATAACAACAAAAAACAAACCATTTTAAAATGATATCTGATTCTCAATAATTGTCTCAAAATTCAGAAACTCTTACTAAGTCCCCTTATTTTTCATGGCTATATGGTTATTTGTATAGTTTTAGAATATGTTTCTCTTCTCACTAGGATATAGTTGGAAAATTTGGTTTTGCAATCAATGCCTTCTGTATATTTTTTCTTTCCATTTAGAGTTCCATTTTGAGTTTTGACTTTCTTTGTAAAAATAGTTTCCCTCCCTCAGCCTGAGATGGGATATACTATCGAATCTTTGGTTGAATTGCAGCTATCCTTCCTTCTGAACCCTAGGAATGAATAGGCGTCCTGTTTATGTTTCTCTTTTCTTGAATGAGATTTATAGATATTAATAAATGCTAAGGCAATTAATGCAAGAATCCCTGACTCATTGACCATCAAATTACATCAAAAAAATTCTAGTTCCATGAAGTTTGTTCTCATTAGATGTCTGTTTCTATTCAGAAGATGCTTTAGTCTTCACAAAATATCTAAAGATAAAATATTCAATAAATACTGGAATTTATGAATCCTGTTCAGACCCTTCATAAGCAAACATTAAATTTTGTTCTTTTTCTCTTTCTCTAAAATGCCAGTCCTGTTTGATATTAAAGATGTTTTATATATTTAGTACATTAAATATTAAACATGTTTTTCTCTTAAAAAGAAGTATTAAAGAGGACAGTATTTTACTTCAGCCTTCTTATGCTATGAATGTCTTAGCCCTCACAATCTGGTACTCTGTGTGTGTGTGTGTGTGTGTGTGTGTGTGTGTTCAATAAAGGAAGAGAATAAGAGTCCTAAAGAAGTCCAGGTCAACACAGATGATCAAACTGTTAAAGCACTTTTGAGCCTGGCTTCTGGTTGCAAAAACAACGTCACTGTGCTACCTCAGGTACTTATGAGTTTATTGTTAGAATTATAAATGAACTTTTGACCTTGTGTTTAGGCCTCTTGGAGACCTTAATATCTTCAGGACACAGCCATAAACATTTCAAGGAGTCTGAAGTTCACTCTGCTGATTAAGCAAGAATTCTAGTCGTGATCTCTTTGAAGAGTTGTCCGTTGGTCCCTGTTCTAACGCACAGCTATTAATGTAGCTTTACTTGTTTGTATGTCTTTCTACTTCTATTTGTGCTTCCAACTGCTAGCTCTCTTTTCAGACTCTCAAAGAAAAGGAATGTAATCCACTTTATTCACCATTGTTCACAATAGTTAAATCTTCTGTGCCAAGCCACCTCATAGGTCTATCAGCAGCTTAGAGATTGGCTGTTCAAATAAGCTATGAAAGAAAATTGATAGGGCTGTTTCCTCAGCAACCTTGGAATGAGCAGATTTCTCGAGTTTGATAGATTCTTTCCGTATAAGCATTCTTAAAGGTCCATAATCACTTCAGTATAAATATTGACAAAATACCTAATATCTACTATAATTAATATCCCAAAAAGTTGGTATATCTGTGTCTGTATGTGTGTATTAGCATTTGTTTTCCATTTTGCATTTATCCATTTATAATAAATATTTAACAAATATTTTTTGAGGGCTTATTGTCTACCAAGCACTGGTCTAGGTGTTTTTGTAAAGCAAACAAAAATTACTGCCCTCATGGAGCTATATTCTATATTTCAGAGAGTGGCAGAGATAGACTATAAACAGGATAAATAAAAATACATAGTGTGATAAATGTTAAGAAGAAACTTAAAAGAAGGAAATCATGATCAGGTATGTTGGCAAAGAGCTGCAGTTTTATGTAGGTGGGCAGTCTTCCTGAGAAGGTGCCTTTTGAGTAAAGACCTTGTTATAGATTGAATTGTGTCCCCCAAAAATGTGTGTCAACTTACCTAGGCCATGATTCCCTCTATTGTGTGATTGTCCACCATTTTGTCGTCTGATGTGATTTTCTATGCGTTGTAAATCCTACCTCCAAGATGTTGATGAGGCAGAATTAGAGGCAGTTATGTTAATGAGGCAGGACTCAATCTACAAGATTAGGTTGTCTTGAGTCAATCTCTTTTGAGATATAAAAGAGAGAAGTGAGCAGAAAGACTGGGGGGACCTCATTACCACCAAGCAAGAAGAACCAGCAGCGTGACCCAGGACCCCTGTGCTGAGAAGCTCCTAGACCAGGGGAAGATTGATGACAAGGACCTTCCCCCAGAACCGACAGAGAGAGAAACCTTTCCCCTGGAGCTGGCACCCTGAATTCAGACTTCTAGCCTCCTAAACTATGAAAGAATAAATTTTTCTTTCTTAAAGCCATCCACTTGTGGTATTTCTGTTATAGCAGCACTGGACAACTCAGACAGACCTAAAGGGGATTAGAGAGTGAGCCCTGTGGATATCTGGGGAAAGAACATCCCAGACAGAACAAACAATAGACCGAAAGGCCCGGGCTGGTGGTACGCTTGTCGTGTTCATGGAACAGTGTAACTGGAGCATTGTGGGTGAGAGGAGCGTAGTAGTAGATGGACACCTTGTGTAGGGCCTTTTATTCAGAGTGGTGTGTGAATCCACTGGAGGCTTTGAGGAGCAGAGTGAACATGATTTAACCTGTATTTTAACAGGATGACTCTGGTCTCTGTGTTAAGCATAAATTGAAGTTTCAAGGATTTTAGTGGGGAAACTACTTAAGAGGCTTTTACAGTAATCTCTGTGAGAGATAATAGGATGTTAAGAGTGGATGTGGTGAGAAGCAATCAGATGCTGTATATATTTGGAAGATTGAGTTGACAGGATAGATTGATAGGTTGGGTGTGGAGTGTGAGAAAAAAATGAAGAGTCAGTGATGACTAAAATGCTTTTAACATGAGCAAAAATAGAATTGCCATTAACTGAGATGAAGCTGTGGAAGGAGTAGGTTTGGAAAAGAACAGTGGGAGTTTAGTTTTGGACATGTTAAACTTGAGATCCTTAATAGACCTCCAAATGGAGATGTCAAATAGGCAGTAGAATATCTAGGTCTGAAAGTCAGGGAAGAGGTCTATGCTAGAGATATGAAATTGGGAATTGTCAGCATGTAGATGATATTTAAAGCCACAAGGTTACATGAGAGATCACCTACAGAGTCACTATAGGTAAAGAAGAGAAAAGATCCTTGGACTAAGTCATGGAGTGACTGGAGTAATTGGAAATTGAATATTCAATTTAAAACTTAGGCTCATAAAACAGAAACTTAGCATTGTAGAAGTCACGTAGTAGTCAAGATAATTTCCTTTTCCCTTTCTCCTTCACCTCTTGGTCCTAGAAGTGGGGTACTTCCCACAGATGAAACCCCACAGGCTTCTTTTGTATTGTTCTGCAGAAAAAGTGGATGCAACAGAATGGACTCTTCTTGAGCTACTTTGGGTCTGGTCACATCACTGGGCTTGAGTAGATTTTCATTCAAGGGTGGCATCAAAGAGCAAGATTAGGTTTCAGTCAGAATCTTATTTGATAATTAGAAGTCTGTCGCATAAAGGGCTTTGTCATTAGTCGCTGTTGAGTCAGTTCTGATGTGTGTAACAGAACAAAACATCGCCTGGAGGGGACATTTGTTTGCTCTTCTACCTCATGTCCTGTGTTATTTTGGATTGGATTTGGCGTAGTATCTAAGTTTCTATCTCTTGGCCTGTTTTTTTTCCAGGAATATAAACCTTTTTTTTAAAATATATGTATACTCATATAAGTGTTTATTTTTAAGTGATATAACTTTTCAAAAAAACATATTAAAGTTTATTTCTGTGGGAAAAATATTTTTTATATTTTGACTGTTTTTGTTCCTTCTCTTTTGAAATCCCTAGCCAACAAGAACATTAGTCATGACAAGCATGCCATCTGAGTAAGTATAGTTGTTTTGATAACTTTCTACTCTATGTGAAATTTTAGCCTTTTCTTTCATATACTGTAATACTGTGCTTGTAGGCAATTCATAGGTCTATACTGTATCACTGTTACTTTATATAACTAATACCTGAGTTAGAAAATCATTGAAAGTAAAAAGGTGGTTAAATGTGAACAGTTTTGCACTGAAAACTTTCTGAGTTGTTTAGACAGCATTGAAATGTTTTATAGTATTTTTCCATTCCTTTTGTTGCTAAGGGCTTTGCTTGCCCACTACCTCCACCGCCTTACCCCATTAACGTTCAATAGATGGAGTGACACTGGCTGAGATATTTCTCTTAAAGCTTTCAAAGAAGCAATTTGGTAAAAAGCTCTCCACTATGTTATTAAACCACCTGTATACATATTTTGTGGAAGGGTTAATAGCTTGCTGGCACACTCTTATCATCTTCCTTAAACATTTAACACAATAAAGACCATCCAACAAAAATACAGTTCCATATTCTTTGTAACGTATTTTTGAGTTCCTGTGTAAAGGGGAAAACCATGTTTTTTTATATCAGTCATTATTGTTTTAGGTTTTAAGACATTCGTCAAAACATTGGGACATTTCTATGAAAAATATGCTGCAGAAAGAATACATGTTTACAACACTTCTTATAACAGGATGTTTTTCCTGCCCATGGCATGAGGTTAAAAGGATTGATAATTTAAACTCTATGCTTTATATAATGAAATTTTTGAGTTTGTAAATGCATTATGAATTGTACTGAATATTCTAAATAAGCTAATACAGAAATGGATATTGAATATGGGTGTAATTTTTTAATTGTAGTAAATATATAGGTAAGAAAACATTTGCCATTTCAACAATCTTCACATACATGGTTCTGTAACATTAAATATATGTTCATTATGTTGTTAAAAGTCTACTCTTTTGCCTAAATAAAAAACATTAATAACTAGTCATTTTCTCAGTCAAAAGTTTAAAAATAATATGTTTTCTTTAGGCCACATTCTCTTACTACTTTTTTTCCCACATATATTCCTTGTCTGAAATTAAGAACAGGACCTGAACGTTCTGGTGCTATAGTGAGTAACCATGTCTTGCAAAGGCCCTTGTTACCACAGCTGCCAGGCTTGGGATGGAAAGAGTCATAGATATTCAGAAGTGAAGCGTTCTGGAGAACATCTAGTTTAGAGGCTTTCACTTCTTTTTGTTTTTGTTCTTTTCAAATTAAGTATTTTCCACAACTTCAATAAGTACAGATTCTCTGGTTGAAGTAGTACTGGGGCCCAGGTTTTGGCCCATTCATCTTCTCTACTATAGGGAAGTCTAAGAATTTAAACCTGTGATATAGGTCAACCCTTTCATTTTTCGAATAAAGAAACCGAGGTCTTAAAGTTTATATTCCTAAGATCCTGAGAGATAAAACTAAGAAATGACATAATGTAGAAAGAAGAGTCTGTATGAGTCTGTGTAAGCATGGACAATAGCAGTCTCTTTTCTTTTGTGATATAATTTTTGGAGAGGAGAGGATTTTCCTTCTTAACTCATTGTGTATGTCGTAGAGTGGCTTAGAAGGCCCCCTGTATCTTTTGTATTTCACTGGGGATTTCCAAAACATGAGGGGAGAGAGAGAAGCAATGTATCAACAACTAAAGGCATTAGAAAGGTGATTGTTAAAGGAAGAGAGGAAGAAATGAGAGTTATTTGGTGAGGAAGTTGGATATGAATAATAGTAATGATAATAGAATGTTTAAGGCATGCAGGGAATGAGAGACCAGAGATAAACAACAGTGAGCTTTGTGAAAACAAGGAGCCTCTGTCAAATTTCCCAAAAGGTTTGATCTGATAATTTTAAAAGGGCCTTCCCCCTGTCCCGTTAGCAAAAAAAACTATATTTGACTCTCAGTAAATGTGATATTTTCAAAATAAAATGTATAAGTGAGTAGCTTCGTCCTGACTATGCACAAATTAGTTCAAATGGGTCTGAAATGTAAATAATTGGTATAGTGGAAAGAGAATTGGGCTGATGTCTGGTGGTCTCCGTTACTAACCAGTCCAGTGGCCACAGACCTCAGTTTTCTCATCCATTAAAACTGATAGTTGAGTTTGAGATCTTAAGGCTTTTTTCCCCCAAATTTCAAGTCGTCGACTGTAAAGAAATTAAGACATAAGCACTGTAGCAGAAATCAATTTAAAATTCTAACTTTCTAGTGTTTTTTTGTTCGTTTGTTTTCTTCTTTTCAGTATAATCCCCTTGGCGTTCGTGTGCAGGAAACATATTCATTTTGCTGATTTTTTTTTTCTATTTGACAGAAAGCAGAATGTTGTCATTCAAGTAGTGAATAAATTGAAAGGCTTTTCATTTTCACGGGAAGTGTGTGAAACTACCACCCACGTGGTCACAGGGAAGCCTCTTCGAACTCTGAATGTGCTGCTGGGAATTGCACGTGGCTGCTGGATTCTTTCTTATGAATGGGTAAGCCCTGTGTCTGACTTAGGTATTTTAGAAACAGAAGACATTTTGTAGATTTGGTCATTCTGAGGTGATGACACCAAGACCCCTGCCAATGTCCGTCTTTATAATTCTTTATTACCACATTTCCCGTGAGCACTCAATGCCACCTTTTGCTTGAACTCTTCTGCCTTTGGATTATCGCCCTTTGGCCAGTACTAAACGCTTGGGGAGCAGGAGTCTGGTGAGGATGGGGAGCGAGAAAGTGAGTAGCCTTTCAGGATACAGACCTACAGACCTCTCAGCCACTGGCAGATAGAAAATTAGAGCAGAGGGGGAATGAAAATGCAAAATGAGTGTTCTTACCGTCAAGTGAACTTCCTTCCATGTTTGACTGAGAAATTATGTGACCTATAGTGATAGTTTAAAAAGCCAAAAGAATTCAATGATTGTTTTTACAGATGGATTTACTTAGGACAAAACATGTTCATGCAATCCCATTTGGATATGTTTTATCTTATGCATATCTGTCTCTAGCATTATTTGCCCTTATCTCTGTGTATCAAGATAGTTTTATTTAAAATCTGTAATTGTTTTCATTATTCATAAAAATAGAAATTGTCTGTTATTCTATTATTACTTTGATCCTCAACTATGGTGCTCCACAGCATTGCTGTATGATCTGGGTAGCATCATTTGTTACTTTCGTTACTCTTTTACATCTATTAACTAGCCACCTTTTCTCCTCCCCCCAAGAATGTGTTATATTAATACTACGTTAATTAAAACTAGTAGAACTATGATATGCAGTAAATTACAGATGTATTTTTTGCAAATGGCCTGGTCTTTCTTCTGTGCCATAGTTTATTTTTGAGACTCGCTACTACAAGAGGTTTAAGAGATTAGTGCTTAAAAGTAATAAAGTGGAAAAGGTTGAAATTCCAAACAAAGTAGTATTTGCATTAGTGGCAACTGGGAAATGCTTCACTAGTTGTATATATACAAGTACTACTTTATTTGTATGTAATATACTTTATGACTCTATGAATAAATTCCTTGTTTGTTTTTTCTCTTAATTCAAAATGTCTCCGGATCTTCATCAATCAACTCTTCGTTCCCTCATGTCTGGGGTGGGGGTGGGGGGGTCATTCTTTATGCTTTATGAAGATACTTATCTATACTTGATTCTGTACTCAACCTTTTGTTCTTGAACTTTGAAAGGACCAGGGAGATTAGACATGAAAATCAGCTTTTAGTTTTGACATCCGTAAGAGACCAAAATCTTAGCTGCCTACATGTCTCTGCTCAGTGTACCGCCAATATTCCTCCACTAATGATGTGTAGGAAACCCGGGTAGCGTAGTGGTTAAGAGCTACGACCGCTAACCAAAAGGTCAGCAGTTGGAATTTACCAGGCACTCCCTGTAAACTGTCTGGGACAGTTCTACTTTGTCCTATAGGGTCGCTATGAGTTGAAATCGACTCAACGGCAATGTGTTTGGTTTGGGGCTGGTTTAATGATATATAAAGTAGCCCTGGTATCACAATGGTTAAGCACTCGGCTGCTAACCAAAAGGCCAGCGATTCTTAAGTTCATAAAGCGTAGGCGTACGGTGTAACAAATTGTAACGCTAACACCCGCGTGACCGCCGTGCAGAGCAAGACAAGTTACCACCCCCCACACTCCAGAAGCCCTTTGTGCACTCCCCCCCCATTCCCTTAAAGGAAATCGTGTCGTTATTTTTTTAATAGATGGTTGGTTTGAGTCAGCATCCTAACATCCTCTAGTACGTTTTCCACATAGCTGTAAGAGTTATTTTTTAATTATGCTGGTTATTAGTTATTTTTGATTATGTTGGTTAAACCCCTTCAATGGCTTCCCATTGCAGTTAGCCTGAATTTCTAAATCCTTAACATGGCCCAGATTATCTGGCTTCCTTATCTTTCTTGGTATTTATTCTTCATTCTCTCTCCCCCTCATTCCTTCTCAGCTACACCGGTCTGTATTCTGATTCTCCAGGGAGCCAAACACTTTACCTTTAGGAGGCTTTTGCATATGTATTGCTTGCCCTTCTGTCCTACGCCTGCTCACCTTTCCTCTCACCTTATGTTTCTTCTTTTGGAAAATCTTCTCTGGCCCGCCCTACCCAAATAGGTTTGGGTCTATTTTGTATGTTTTTAGGTAACGTTTGTCAAAACTACAATGAAGTAATTATTTATATAATTATTTGCTTAGCTCCGCCCCCTCCCCTTTAAGACCAGAAGCTACAGGAAGTCAAGCTCTGTGTCTGTTTTGTTCACCTTCACATCCTCTGCTCCTGGTCCGTAAGTGTTTGTGGAGTGAAGGAATAATGCAGGTTATATAAGAAGAATTTTATTTTATGTAAGGAATACCATATTGCATCTTGGAGGACTTTCTCCCCCAATTCCTCATTTCCTTTTCAGTATATGCATATGCATGTTTTTAGTTCAAGAATAGTTATCATTGTATCAATTGTTGTTGTTGCTGGGTGCTGTCGAGTTGTTTCCAGCTCATAGCGACCCCATGTGCAACACAACAAAATGTTGCTCGGTCCTTGCCACACGCGTAATCGTTGCTATGTTTTAGCCCATTGTTGCAGCCACTGTGTCAATTCATCTTGCCAAGAGTCTTCCTTCTTTTTCACTGACCCTTAACTTTACCAAGCATGATGTTCTTCTCACCACTGTTAAATTATAAGTTATATGTGTTGTATCTCAGATATAAACTAAAACCAAATCCATTGCCATTGAGTCAATTCCAACTCGTAGTGATCCTATAGGACAGAGTAGAACTGCCCCATAGGGTTTCCAAGGAGCAGCTGGTGGACTTGAACTGCCAACCTTTAGGTTAGCAGCCAAGCTCTTACCACTGTGCCACCAGGGCTCCATCTCAGATACCGTATATTGGAAAGAACATTAAAGAAAGATCCTTAATATGCTAAGTAAGTTGACGGTAGTCCCTTCTATCTGATTGTTTCCCATCAATTTCTCTCAAGGAAACTATTATTTTAGAAAATCCACAGCATTTATATTCATGCTACCTGTGGGATGGAGTGGATACCCTAGTGGTGCAGTGGTTAAGAGCTATGGCTGCTAACCAAAAGGTCAGCAGTTCACATCCACCAGGAGCTCCTCAGAAACTATGAAGCAGTTCTGCTCTGTCCTATAGGGTAGTCATAGGGTCGCTATGAGTCTCTCGAATTGACTCGACAGCAACGGGTTTGGTTTTTTTGGTTTATGGGATGGAGTGGTGATGTTCTACTTATGTACAGTTAACTTACATGCTGAGCTCAAAGTCACCTTCCCCCTCAACTTGCAACTGCACTCCTCACACTAACAATAGCAAACATATCTATTAAATAGTGTGATGACATGAGATTGACAGTAATATGTTATGAGGTAGACACCCTTTGACAACAGGAACACTTTAGAACCCTCTGTTGTTAGTTACCATCCAGTAGATTCTGACTCACGGTGACCCCATGTATAACAGAACGAAATGTTGCCCAGCCCTGCGTCATGTTCACGACCATTGATATGCTCAAGTCCATTGCTTTGGCCACTGTGTATTTTGAGTACCTTCCAACCTAGGAAGGAGCCCTGGTGGTGCAGTGGTTAAGCACTCAACTGCTATCTGAAAGGTCAGTGGTTCAAACCCACCAGCCTGCTCCACGGGAGAAAGATGTGGCAGTCTGCTTCCGTAAGGATTTACAGCCTCAGAAACCCTATGGGGCAGTTCTACTCTGTCCTATAGGGTTGCCATGAGTCGGAATCGGCTCAACAGCAGTGGGTTTGGTTGTGTTTCAGTCCAACCTAGGGGGTCATCTTCTAGCACTATATCGGACAATAATCTGTTGTGATCCATAGGATCTTTACTGGCTAATTTTCTACGTAGATTGCCAGGCCTTTCTTCCTAGTCTTAGTCTGGAAGCTCCATTGAAACCTGTCCACTGTGGGTGACCCTGCTAGTATTTGAAATAATAGTGTATAGCTTCTAGTTTCCTGACAACACACAAGCCACCACAGTATGAAAAATGAGTGATGATAGAATACTCACACTCATTTTGGGGGGAGATTTAATTTTCTTATTAGAGGAAGGATGATTTGGATTCTTAGGCATCTGCAGACTTTCTTTCTTTAATCTAGTCTCAAACCTTAGGATATATAACAATTAATGTGCAGCATGATAAATTACACAAAACCATGTATAAATAATGTTTATGGACAATATAAGGGCTTTTCATAGAAGTTTGCTTGTAAGCAATTTTCACTTTGACTCTGACTTGAAAATTTAACCCTCTTTAATGTAGTTCTGCTGTATACATTGAGAATCTTTTTTTAAACATTGTTAATGATGATAGCCTAATTAACATAATTATTATTTGGTATAAAGTCAATTTTGTTCTCTGATTTGTAGGTCATTTGGGTATATAACCTTCTTGTAAAATATTTATACTACAAAGAATCATGAAAAACTATCCTTTTAAACCATTACAGGTATAACTGATAGCAACATGATTGCTTGTGAAATATATAGTCTGATTCATTGTTACAATCCAAGATGAGGTCCACTTCTAAAGACACGTTGATAAGTAAAGCCGAATGAACTGAGGCTTGCATACCATGCTACCAGTGAGTACATTGGTTACTTTATAGCATTTAATATTTTGAATAATATTAGTTAGCATTGAAGGTGACTTATTTGCGTTACAATAAGCACCTGTTTATATTTTTTTGCATTAAAGAATTGTTAGATATGTCCACTATATTTATGTTGAGTTTTCGACTGGTAGGCGGTAAATGAAGAGTTCTTAGAATTACTAGAAATGATTTTGTTTTCATTTCTAAGTCTGATCTTTTTCAGTAATAAGGCAGGCAAAGCTGTTGTTTATATTTCTAAAGGTAAATTTATTATTTAGTCTTGTAGTAAGTGCATATGATGATATGGACACTTCAAATCTCGACTCTGAAAGACATTATTACATAGAGTTCATGCTTAAAATAATATGCCATGTTGTAGTGGGTATTAAATTGAGCATTTATCGACAGAAATTATGTATGGTGGCAACCTATTACAAAGTCGTGTAAAAGCCATACTTTCAGCAGGACATAAAGGCATACAGTTCATATTATGAATTTTGAGGGGTTCCCACACAGGAGCAAACTCTTGTGTATAGTTAAAGATTCTATGTTTATATTTATTTCACACCAAAGTTGTCATTCTTACCAACATTTGCACTCAGCAAGAGGGACCAGATAGAATACCAGAAAATTCTGATAGACATCTACGCTTTTTTTTTCTTTTTTTCTCCTTTCTTGCCTCTCCTGGTACCAGTCAGCCCTGCACTTTGATCAGGAAGCACTTCCTCGATATTAATGAGAGGGATATAAAAAACCTAAACCTATTGCCGTCGAGTCAATTCTGACTCATAGCGACCCTATAGGACAGAGTAGAACTGCCCTATAGTTTGTAAGGAGTGACTGGTAGATTCGAACTGCTGACCATTTGGTTAACAACCGACCTCGTAACCACTGTGTCACCAGACCTCCATAGACATTTAAATTAAAGAATCACAGAATGCAGTCTGGACTGCAGAGATAGACTAGCACTGTCTGTTTTGGTACCTGGAGCCCCAGGCCCCTTTGCTTCAGAGTGAATGTAGCCTAATAAGTGAGAGAGGTAGGCAGGAATTGGGCAGCCATGGTCTACCCTCTTTCATCAAAAGTGAATGGAGAGAAAAGTTAATGAGCAGACAATTCCCAGAAGAAATACAAATAACTGATAAACCTAAAAAAAGCTATTCACCCTCAGAGATAACAAAGAAATATTAATGAAAATAAATGAAGGATCTTTTTGTCTATCAGATTAAAGAGCAATAATATCTTCTCTTGACAAGCATTCTTTATTTCATTCAACACATATTTCAGTACGCTGCTGTGTTCCAGGCGTTGTCTCAGTCTCTGTGGGTTTGAAGGTGAATTAAATAAAGTTTCTGTCCTCGTGTAGCTTACCTTCTGCTGAGACAATCGACGAGTAAATTGTCGTATAGTGTCAGCTGGTGATAAGTGCTCTGGAGAAAAATGAAGCAAGACAATGAGGTAGAAAATGAACGGGAACGAAGGTACATCTTAGACAAGGTGGACGGAAAAAGCTTCTCTTGTAAGGTAACATTTAGGGAGACCCTCATAAAGTGAAAAAAATTGAGTCTTGCAAAGACTTGTGAAGCCCCAAGGCGGGAACTGGTGTATCTGAGGACTCGCAAGAAGGCTAGATCGGAGAGAGCAAAGAGAAGCAGTAGGAGAAGAAGAGATGAGAGAGCCAGATCATGTAGCGAACTGGCCATGGTGAAGTGTTTGGATTATTTTCCAAGGTTATGAGAAGCCATTTGAAGAGATTTTGATCAGAGCAAGTGACATGGTCTGATTTGTGTTTTTAAAAGGACAGTCTGGCTGCTGTGGAGAACTTACTGTGGAGAAGCAAGAGTGGAATCAGAGAAACCACTTAGGCTATTGCAGTCACAGGCTATGTGAGAGAAAATAGCAGCTTGGATTCAGATGGCAGTAGAAGTAGAGATGGCAAGAGGTACTCAGATTTGGGGTACAGTGAGAAGGCAGAGTTAAGTGGACTTCCTCATGGGTAGGCTGCAGAATGTGAAGGAAATCAAAGATAATTCCTAGGTTTTTGGTTGTGCATCTGTTTAAAAGTTGGTAGCAGGATGATTTAGCAAAGACTGATAATTATTTAAAAGTGATGTGATACAGTGTGTTTCCTTTTCCTACTAAGTACCAAGATAAGCATCATGAAGTCTGTGATAGATACCAGTACCAGGGCAATACATGGCTTTGAAGACAAAATCCATAATGTACCAGCTACAAACAAATTATGGAAAAAGTCACCTGAACCACCTGTTGGAGGCTTACAGTTCCCTGCCTGGTTTAACACAGCGGCCTTTACTCCTGGACTGACTTCCACGGACTGAGTATTGAGTACTGTGACCCCAGGAGCCACATGGCAGCTATGGGACCCCTGCCAAACAGTCAACAGACTCAGCCAGAGGATTCCAAGTGTCCATATTACCGTATGTTAGAGTTATCACATGGTCTTTGCAGACCTGAAGTCTACACATGGGTGTAAATGACTCTGTGCTCCTTCTTCTATCCCTGTCCCCAGTGTAATTTGGGGGATTCTTAAAATGTTCTTTTTGGCTAGCAGTATAAACTTGCCTCCAAGAAAAACATTAGTGAGAATGTTTTTATTTTAGGGCTTGAGTGGTATACTCTGGAAATTTCTTGTAAAGGAGAGTTCCAGAAGTTCTTCAGAATTAAATGATTCTATGTGGCCCAGTTAATCGT